CCCCCCCCCCCAAAAAAAAACTGCAACGATGGGTAAAAAAAGCTTTGGTCCATAAAAGAACATACAGAAAAGCTGCAGTATTCAACCGCGTGGGGCCAGTGATTTCGAAGGATGCCTTTCTCGCCGTATGCCTCCCCCTGCCCGCAACCCATCGCCTTGGCCTTGTCCGTTGCTGAGCTGGGCTTGGCTCCTTTCTGGAAAAATGACAGTATTTTTGGCAGGGAGAGGGCGGACAGGGCTTCTTGCCTGGCTCTGGCTCAGCTGGGAGGTGGGCTACCTCTTGCTCCTCCCTGTGACCCTGCCCGATCCTCCGGAGTGTCCGGGACAAGAGCCGCACTGACTGGTGGAGGAGTGTGAGGAGCAGGAGCGGGCCCTGATGGAAAGTTCAACTCCAGTGACTGGGGACCTCAAGCAGCAGAAAAGCAGGCACCCGGTCCCTGGGGAGCTGTGCTCACCTCGAGAGAGGAGAACAGGACTGGGTTTGGACTCCTTCCTCCCCATCAGGGACACCCAGGACTAGGCGTGAGGGCCATGCCCACTGTATCCCAGAGGAGAGGGTGCCCCCCACCTGGCCAGGGTCTGCGCCGTGCCCTCCAGGAGATGGGGCCTTGTGGTGCGGAAGCTTGGCTGGGGTGCCTGGGGGTGTAAAGCACTGCTCCCCCTTCACCTCTGCAGGTGTCATCCCTTCGGTCGGTTCTCTGTAACATTGCAACTGTGCAGACGGGGTGTCCTTCCTGTAGGCTGTTTCCCTATGGGCACCCTGCGGGCCAGCACCTGAGCCATGCTGTGAAGCCTGGCCTGGACTCGGCGCGCCTCTCTTCGTATGCCTTACGCAACTCCCGTGTCCCTGCAGCCCCGGTGCCAGCCCTCCCTGCAAGCCGCAAGCCTCCAGCAAGGCCTGTCTCTGCAAGCATCACAGCAGACCCAGAAGCAACCACTTCACACGTGCCCTGCGAGCCGTGGCCCAGAGGGGACCTTCGCAGACCTGCCTGCAGTGCTTGGAGGCCGAAGGCACGGCCTTCGTCCACCCCACTAACCCGCTCTCTAAACCAAAGGTACCTGGTCTCAGAGGAGAGAGAGCTTGAGCCTGAGAGGAATCTTTAGCTGTCGCTGCAGCCAGCGTCGGGTTCAGGAGGGGGACGCTGACCCTGTGATGGGCCACCTGCCACAGACACAGCCTCTGAGTTGAGCCTCCAGCTGCTGGCCAGGGACCTGGGCAGGAACGGGGCTGTGCCCTTCGGAGACTTTATTGAAGCAGCATTTGCCACATGTATAAGCCGCAAAGGTATTAGCTGTGCCTGCATCACTTAGTGACCAGTCAGTGAAGGTCAGGCCCACAGACACACACTCTGTCTGCAGGTAAGAAACCAGAGCCCAGAGCTGGGCCAGTTGTTTGTTTGAACCTGAGAACCACTGGCAGGTTTGCTACCTAGAAGCCCCAGGGGCAGCTCTCTCTTGGCGACCGGAACAGGGTGAATAGCAGGGGGCTGGGGAGTGAGCTCAGGGCCCCCTCCCCTGGCCTCCCTCTGACACCTGCCTGGACACAGCCGGGTATTCCTGCAGCCTGGGCCCCGGGCCCCTGCAGGGAGTGCCGGGGAAGAGTGCCTGTGGCCTGAATGAAAGGACCGGCCTTTTCAGAAAACACTGTGTCTGAGCAAGATAGTTTCTCAGGCCCTGCGTCCATATTGCACCACACATACTAATGAACTGACTGCACCGGAAATGGTCTCCTAGGGCAAGCAGGACTGTGGGAAGTCACTGAGCCCATCTCCCTGCTTCTACAAAGTCTGCTGCACAGCTGATGGCCACGGAAGGGCCCCCACTACCCCTGGGTCTTGGGGGGCAGTGGTTCCTCAGCCTGTCTTCACTCCTCGTTTACACCCCGCTCGGCTCTGTACTACCCCTCGCCCACACCACCATGCCATCATGGCAGCAAGAGCAAACCTGGGCCTGGAGAACCAAGTTTTCCCCAAGCACAGGTGGCAGGTGGTTAGAGAGAGATGTGGGTTAGGGTGAGGGTTAGAGGACCGGCCTTTTCAGAAAACACTGTGTCTGAGCAAGGTAGTTTCTCAGGCCCTGCGTCCATATTGCACCACACACACTAATGAACTGACTGCACCGGAAACGGTCTCTTAGGGCAAGCAGGACTGTGGGAAGTCATCGGGCCCATCTCCTTGCTTCTACAAAGTCTGCTGCACAGCTGATGGCCACGGAAGGGCCCCCACTACCCCTGGGTCTTGGGGGGCAGTGGTTCCTCAGCCTGTCTTCACTCCTCGTTTACACCCCGCTCGGCTCTGTACTACCCCTCGCCCACACCACCATGCCATCATGGCAGCAAGAGCAAACCTGGGCCTGGAGAACCAAGTTTTCCCCAAGCACAGGTGGCAGGTGGTTAGAGAGAGATGTGGGTTAGGGTGAGGGTTAGGGAGGCAGCCCTTCCAGGGAGAAGAAAGTCCATTTTTCACGGCACCGTGCCCGAATCCACCCAGCTCAGCAGGAAAAAAGTATTGTCCCCACTCCCTGCCAGCCAGGGCTCTCAAACAGTCACCCCAAAACACCCCACAACCATGCCGGGAGAGGGCGATACCATTGGTGCTTCGGCCTGGCTGGCTGGGGAGCCCGGAGTGGGGAGAAGTGTAGGTCATCTCGCAGTGACTACAAGTTTATTGCCTGTGCTGCGATGATCGCTCAGCATATACTCTTATGTTTTTATTGATTTTGAGAGAGAGGACGGGAGAGAGAGATCGGCCCAGAGGGGACCTTCGCAGACCTGCCTGCAGTGCTCGGAGGCCGAAGGCACCGCCTTCGTCCACCCCACTAACCCGCTCTCGAAACCAAAGGTACCTGGTCTCAGAGGAGAAGCACTGTGCCCAAATCCACCCAGCTCAGCAGGAAAAAAGTATTGTCCCCACTCCCTGCCAGCCAGGGCTCTGAAACAGTCACCCCAAAACACCCAACCACCATGCCGGGAGAGGGCGATACCATTGGTGCTTCGGCCTGTCTGGCTGGGGGGCTCGGAGTGGGAGAAGTGTAGGTCATCTCGCAGTGACTATAAGTTTATTGCCTGTGCTGTGATGATCACTCAGCATATACTCTTTTATGTCTTTATTGATTTTGAGAGAGAGAGGACGGGAGAGAGAGATCCATCAATCAGCTGCCTCCTGCACACCCCCCACGGGGGATCTAGCCTACAACCTGGGCATGTGCCCTGACCGGGAATCAAACCGGCCACTCTCGGTGCATGGGACAATGCTCAACCAACTGAGCCACACTGGCTAGGGCTCAGCATATCCTTTTTTTAAAAATATATTTTATTGATTTTTTACAGAGAGGAAGGGAGAGGGATAGAGAGAAACATCGATGAGAGAGAAACATCGATCAG